TGAAGCCAGCATAACCCTGATACTAAAACCAGGTAGACACCACAGAAAAAGAAAATTACAGACCAATATCCCTCATGAACATTGACACAAAAATCCTCAACAAAATTCTAGCCAACAAAATTCATCAACATATCAAACAAATAATTCACCAAGATCAAGTGGGATTTATACCAGGTACGCAGGGATGGTTCAACCTGAGAAAAACAATCAATGTAAACCATCACATAAATAAAACAAAAGAACTACATGATCTCATCAATCGATGCAGAAAAGGAATTTGACAAGGTCCAACACCCACTCATGATAAAAACTTTCAACAAAATAGGAATAGAAGGGAAATTCTTCAATATAATTAAGGGCATTTATACAAAGCAAACAGCCAACATCTTCCTAAATGGAGAGACTTTGAAAGCATTCCCCTTGAGAACGGGAACCAGTCAAGGATGCCCTTTATCACCACTCTTATTCAACATTCTGCTGGAGGTCCTAGCCAGAGCCATTAGGCTAGAAAAAGAAATAAAGAGGATCCAAATTGGTAGAGAAGAAGTAAAATATCTCTATTTGCAGATGATATGATCTTATACACAGAAAACCCCAAAGAATCCACAAGAAAACTACTGGAGCTAATAGAAGATTATAGCAAAGTTTCAGGATACAAGATAAACACACAAAAATCAGTTGGATTCCTTTACACCAACAAAGAGAACCTCAAAGGGGAAATCACCAAATCAATACCATTTACAATAGCCCCCACAAAGATAAATTACTCAGGAATGAATCTAACCAGAGATGTAAAAGACTTATACAATGAAAACTACAAGAAACTACTGCAAGAAACTAAAAGAGACCTGTATAGGTGGAAAAACATACCTTGTTCATGGATAGGTAGACTCAACATAGTGAAAATGTCAATTCTACCCAAAGCGATCTACTAGATACAATGCAGTCCTGATCCAAATTCCACCAGCAATTTTTAATGAGATGGAGAAACAAATCACCAATTTCATATGGAAAGGGAAGAGACCCTGGATAAGTAAAGCATTACTCAAGAGGAAGAACAAAGTGGGAGGCCTTCCACTACCTGATTTTAGAACCTATTATACTGCCACAGTAGTCAAAACAGCCTGGTACTGGTACAACAACACATACATAGACCAGTCGAACAGAATGGAGAATCCAGACATAAATTCATCCATCTATGAGCAGCTGATATTTGACAAAGACCCAAAGTCCGTTAATTGGGGCAAAGACAGTCTCTTTAACAAATGGTGCTGGCATAACTGGATATCCCTCCGCAAAAAAATGAAACGAGACCCATACCTCACACCATGCACAAAAAGTAACTCAAAATGGATCACAGACCTAAAAATAAAATTGAAAACCATAAAGATCATGGAAGAAAAAATAGGGACAACACTCAGAACCCTAATACATGGCATAAACACAATACAAACCGTAAGTAAAAATGCACAAGCACAAGAAGCGAGACTAGATAACTGCGAGCTCCTAAAAATCAAATACTTATTATGCTCATCAAAAGAGTCAAAAACAACCTAGACTGGGAAAAAATTTTTGGCTACGACAAATCCGATCAGCATCTAATCTCTAAAATACTGCAAAATCTCCACGACAATATGACAAATAACCCAATTAAAAAATGGGAAAAGGATATGAACAGGCACTTCACCAAAGAAGATATTCAGGCGGCTAACAGACACATGAAGAAACGCTGACGATCATTAGCCATTAGAGAAATGCAGATCAAAACTACAATGAGATATCATCGCACCCCAACAAGGCCAACATTAATCCAAAAAAACACAAAATAATAAATACTGGAGAGGTTGTGGAGAGAATGGAACACTCATACACTGCTGGTGGGAATGTAAAATGGTACAACCACTTTGGAAATCGATTTGGTGCTTCCTTAAAAAGCTAGAAATAGAAGTACTATAAGATCCAGCTATCCCGCTCCTTGGAATATACGCTAGAGAAATAAGAGCCATCACACGAATAGGTATATGTACACCCTTGTTCATTGCAGCACTGTTCATGATAGCAAAAAGATGGAAACAACTTAGGTGCCCATCAATGGTTGAATGGATAAACAAATTATGGTATATTCACACAATGGAATACTACGCAAGGATAAAGAACAACGATGAAGCCATGAAACATCTTATAACATGGAGGAATCTGGAAGGCATTATGCTGAGTGAATTTAGTCAGTCACAGAAGGACAAATATTGTATAAGACCACTGGTGTAAGAACTCAAGAAAAGGTTTAAATACAGAATAAAACATTCTTTGATGGTTATGAGGGTGGGGAGGGAGGGAGAGGGTTATTCACTAACTACATAGTAGACAAGAATTATCTTAGGTGAAGGGAAGGACAGCACACACTACAGGGGAAGTCAGCACAACTGGACTAAACCAAAGCTAACAAGTTTCCTGAATACAAACATTTTGGGGGACAGAGTAGCAGGGGTAGGGGTCTGGGGACCATGCTTTCAGGGGACATCTAGGTCAATTGGCATAACAAAGCTTATTAAGAAAATGTTCTGCATCCCACTTTGGTGAGTGGCGTCTGGGGTCTTAAAGGCTTGCAAGCGGCCATCTAAGATGCATCGATTAGTCCCAACCACCTGGAGTAAAGAAGAATGAAGAACACCAAAGACACAAGGAAAGTATTAACCCAAGAGACAGAAAGGGCCACAAAAACCAGACTTCATCAGCCTAAGACCAGAAGAACTACATGGTGCCCGGCTACTACCAACGACTGCCCTGACAGGGAACACAACAGAGTCCCTGATGGAGCAGGAGAAAGGTGGGGTGCAGAACTCCAATTCTAGTAAGACCACCAGACTTAATGGTCTGAGACTGGAGGATCCCTGGAAAGCATGACCCCTGGATTCTCTATTGGCCCAGAACTAAAACAATTTCCAAGGGATTGAACTGGACTGTGGGACATAAGGTGATACTCGTGAGAAGTCAGCCTCTTAGCTCGAGTAGATACAAGGGACTAAACGGGCAGCTTCCATCTGGAGGTGAGATGGGAAGGAAGAGAAACTGGTTGAATGGAAACGGGTAATCAGGTGGAAAGGGGAAGAGTGCTGTCACAGTATGGGGAGAACAATTAGGGTTACATAACAATGTATGCATAAATTTTTGTATGGGAGACTAACTTGAAATGTAAACATTACTTAAACTACAATAAAAAAAGAATTAAAAAATCTCTTATTACCAGTAGTTAGAATTCTCTTCAACAGATTTGCTTATATGGTTGACCGTCAGTCTTTCTTTTGCTTTATCGATTATTTTATGTACTTACCCTTTGGAAGAATTTGTTTCCACAGAGCAACAAAGAGCCTTGTGAATTTCTCGATTGCTATCAATTATACTGAGGTGAAATATATTTTGATAGGAGAACAAAGATATTTGGGAGACAGCTACTTGGCCAACTGACCAGAAGAGATCCACATCCTTGCCCATTCCAAAGAAATGCTATCAGACAGAATAAAGAAATTATCAAACAATATCATTAACATCACATGCAAGCAAAATTTTGCTGAACATAATTTAAAAATGACTGTAGCCATACATCAACAAAGAACTGCAAGAAGCTCAAGCCAGACTCAAAAGAGACATGAAACAAGCGATATCATGTCTGATCAAAAGTAGAGAACATCAGAAAGATTTTTATTGTGCTACATCAACTACGCAAAGACACTGGACTGTGGGCATCATAACAAATTATGGATAACATTATGAAGAATGGAATTTCAGAACGCTTGTTCAAGCAGAACCTGTACGTAGATGAAGAGGCAGTTGTTCCAAGAGAACAAAGGGATACTGTATGGTTTAAATTGGAAAAAGTGTGGCAGGGTTGTATCCTCTCACCTTATTCAATCTGTATCATGAGCAAATAATCTGAGAGCTGGACTATGTGAGATCAGAGCATCACGATTGAGGGAAGTCTCATTAACGGCCTGCAACATGGAAAAGACTCAACTTCCCATGCTGAAAATGAAGATGACTTGAAGTACTTACTGATAAAGGTTAAGACTACAACCTTCAGTATGGATTGACTTAACATGAAAAAAAGAAAAACCCTCACAACTGGGACCATAAATAACATCATAATACATGATGAAAGAAATTGGAGTTGTCAAGTATTTCATTCTACATGGATCATCAGTTAATGCCCAGGGAAGCAGCAGTGAAGAAATCAAATGACTTACTGCATTGGGCAAATCTGTGGCAAAAAACCTCTTTAAAATTTTAAGGAGCAAAGATATCACTTTGATGACTAAGGTGCACCTGGCTCATGCCATGGTATTTTCAATTGCCTCATATGCATGCAAAAGCTGGATAATGAAAAATGAAGACTGAAAAAGAACTGATGCACTTGAATTGCAGTGTTGGCAAAGAATACTGAATATACCATACCAAAAAAAATTTAAAAACTCGTTGCCATCGAGTCGATTCCAACTCATAGCGACCCTACAGGACAGAGTAGAACTCTCCCATAGAGTTTCCAAGGAGCACCTGCTGGATTTGAACTGCTGACCTTTTGGTTAGCAGCTGTAGCACTTAACCACTATGCCACCAGGGTTTCCAAATATACCACAGACTGCCAGAAAAACAAACAAATCAGTCTTGAAGGAAGTACAACCACAATGCTCCTTAGAATGGAATTGCTCCCTTACTTTGGACAAGTCATCAGGAGGAACCAATCACTAGTACATCATGTAGGTAACGCAGAGTGTCAGCAAAAAATAAAAAACCCTCAATAAGATGGACTGACACAGTGGCAGTAACAATGGACTCAAACATACCAACAATTGTGAAGATGGTACAGTACCAGGCAATGTTTCCTTCTTTTATACATAAGGTCTTTATGAGTTGGAGCAAACTCCATGGCACATAACACAAACAAGACAGACCAAGAAAGGCTATGTGATAATATACTTTAAACTTCAAATATTTCCCTTAATGCATCAATAGTTTTAAAGAGACAATAATTTAGTGTGGAAAATCAAAGTTTATTTTACAATATTTATTAAACAAAGTGTAAACATTTCCTATTATGCTGTCATGTTTCAATAAACAAAAAATCAAACATCTGTTCTATCATTTCCTCACACTTAGAAGCATCACATTGCTCAGAGACTGTACACAGATGTGTTCACTACAGTGGCCCTGAGTAACTTTTTAAAACTGCACATTTCATAGGTAAATGTTTTATTACATATTTTCTATAAAGGCTTCAGCTCTCATATACAAATCATGAATTTTGGTACATCACTTGTAGGTGAAGATTTAATCCAGAATTCTGAAACAAATGCATTTCCTTCCAGAAAATATAAAAATAATGCAAAATAAATGTTCAATATTTGTTGAAAACATTCATACATTCTAACTACTTAAAATTTTAGCCTAATCTTAATTATTTGATGTTCAAAGGGATTAATTTCTTGCTAAAGGCTTTCATGTTTATAACAATCTTTGGGTTTTTCCTGAAATTTCTGATTTTTAAATAAGTTTGACTTGCAGATAAAAGCCTCTGATCATTGAGGACGTTGACAAGTTCTTTTGTTATGGACGGAATTGTATTCTGCCAAAATATGTTAAAATTGCAGTGGTTAAGAGCTATGGCTGCTAAAGTTCAGCAGTTCGAAACCACCAGCCACTCTTTAGAAACTCTATGGGCAGTGCTACTCTGTCCTACAGGGTCACTATGAGTCAGAATTGATTTAAGGGCAACAGATTTGGGTTTTTGTTTTACACATGTAAATATCACTGTTTGGAAATAGGGTTTTTCTTATGCTAATGAGCTCATGCCAAAATATGATGGGTCTTAAACCTAACCATTTGTTATAAAAACAGCAAAATCAATACAGACAAAAACTGGGAGAAGACAGAATGCAAAAAGGCTACTGACAAAGAAAGACCTCCCTCTACAGCCATCCCTTGAATTCAGAGTTTTAGTCACCAGGACAGTGAGAAAACAAATTGTTCTTTACAGCCACCTGCCTGTGGTGTTTCTGTTATGGCAATACTAGGCAACTAAGACACCTTTCTTGTGGAATTTTTCCTGATGTACAATGAGTGGCTGGATTCTCACATTCATTAGTCATGGGGTTTCATCCATCCCTACCAGAGAGATAACTAAGCAATGTACAGTAACAGCCAAATCTGCAAGAGCTAAATAGAATACAAACTTATTTCTTCATTGAAAAAAAAAATCAACTAGTGAGATACAGAAGGGAAGAACTGTGCTCAACTCAGTTATCCAGGGACTCTCACTTCCTTCACTTTGTTCTCCACTATGTTAATGTATGACATTCAAGTTTGCCATTTCATTTTAAGAGAATCAGGAACTATGTGAGGTTTATTAAGTCTTTTATGGGCCAGATGTTGATGTGGCATATTCAATAAACTTGAAGTAGATAGTAGCAGTCACCTGAGCCCAAGTGAATGAATGGCAGATTGGAAAAATTAGAATAGCTGAGCCTAGGGAAAAAGGATTTGGTTAGAGGTGAAGTTGCCAGTGTATATGATGTAGGCTTCTCCCTTATGTGAATTATCTAATAAGTATGACATATATTATACGCGAAGCGTTTCTCTCGTGTGAATTCTGATGTACTCCAAGGGTTGCCTTCCCAAAAAAACTTTTACCACATTTACTGCATGCCTAACATTAATGCCATGTGAGTTCTCTGATGTCTTCTCTGAGAGTAGAATAATGAGCAAAAATTTTCCCACATTCATTACATTCATAGGGTTTCTCACCTGTGTGAATTTTCTGATGTGCACTGAGATTTTTCTTCTGAGAGAAGGTTTTCCCACATTCATTACATTCATAGGGTTTCTCCCCTGTATGAATACTCTGATGTGCTCTGAGGCCTGAATACTGGGAGAAAGATCTCCCACATTCATTACATTTGTAGGGTTTCTCACCTGTGTGGATTTTCTGATGTTCACTGAGGTTTTTCTTCTGGGAGAAGGTTTTCTCACATTCACTACATCTATAGGATCTCTCTCCTGTGTGAATTCTCTGGTGTACCCTGAGATTTGAATTTTGGGCAAAAGCTTTCCCACATTCATTACATTCATAAGGTTTCTCCCCTGTGTGAATTCTCTGGTGTAGCCTGAGACCTGAATTCTGGGAGAATGTTTTCCTACATTCATTGCATTTGTAGGGTTTCTCCCCTGTGTGAATTCTCTGATGTGAAATGAGATACAACTTTAGGGAGAAAGATCTTCCACATTCATAACATTCATAGGGTTTCTCTCCTGTGTGAATTCTCTTGTGTAGCCTGAGAGTTGCATTTTGGGTAAAAGCTTTCCCACATTCATCACACTCATAGCGTTTCTCTCCTCTGTGAATTCTCAGGTGTACTGTGAGAGATTATTTTGGGTAAAAGCTTTCCCACATTCATGACAATGATAGGGTTTCTCCCCTGTGTGAATTCTCTGATGTGCTCTGAGCTGTGTCTTATGGAAAAAGGTTTTCCCACATTCATTACACTGATAGGGTTTCTCCCCTGTGTGAACTGTCTGATGTCTACTGAGATGTGACTTCTGGGAGAAGGTTTTCACACATTCATTACATTTATAGGGTTCTTCCCCTGTGCGAATTCTCTGATGTGCTCTGAGGGCTGAACTGTGGGGAAGCACTTTTCCACATTCATTACATTTAAAAAGTTTCTTCTCCATGACTGTTTTCTGGTGTTCTTTGAGAACTAACCTCTTGTAAGATTTATTACATTTATTACGTTCATGTTTCTCCTTTTTGTGAATACTCAGATGCTCACTGAGGGTTGACTTCTGACAAAAAGTTTTGCCACAATTACGACATTCATAGAGTATGACACGCATATGAGTTCCATGATGTTGAATTAAGTGTGGCTTCTGACAGGATTTCCCACATTCCTTACATTCATTGAGCTTCTCCCCTGAATGGGTTCTCTGATGCTGAATGATGTGTACTTTCTGGTAAAAGGATTTCCTGTGCTCATTACATTCAAAAGTCTTCTCTCCTGTGTCACTTTGCTGATGTCTATTTACAGCTGAGTTTTGGGAGAAATTACCAAATTCATCACATTTGTAGTTTCTCTTCTATGTGACCTTCCCGATGTACCATTAGGCGTAACTTTGGATAAAAAGAATTCCCATATTCATTATATTCAAAAGATTTATCTTCAGTGGCTATTCTCTGATGTACCATAAAAGTTGAGATGTGTCTGAAGTTTTCTTCACGTGTATTCCTTTCAAAGGTACTCTGTCCTGTGCCGCTTCTCTGAGGTTGAGTGACCTCTGACTTCCTGCTGAAATTATTCCCATTTTCATTACATTCATAGTGTGACAAAGCCATGTGAACTTTATTGTACTCCATGAAAGCTGACTTCTCACAGGATTTCACACACTGGTTAAGACCAGAGCACTTCTCCACTGTACTAGTTCTCTTGTGGTCAAACAGAATTGTCTTATCACGTTTTGCTAAATTTGTCATCCTTACTGGATTTCCCTTCTGTGTGAGAACTTTCAGGTGTAATACAGGCAGCCTTATCATAGGAGCCTTTCTCAGATTCATTATATTCAAAAGCTTCTTCCAACACTCGAAACTTCTGATTCTCAGAAAGATCTTCCTTGTAACTAAGACCCTTCACATTTGTATTAAACTCATAAGATTCCTCTCCAGCATGAGTTTCCTCATTATTAATATCAATATGCAATTTTTCACATATGTTAATGTAATCGGCCTTCTCTCCTGAAGAATATCTATCACTGATAATTAATTCAGAAACAATTGGGAAACTAATTCTACATGAGTTACATTTACAGCGAATTTTTCTTGAAGAAAATGAAGCTGTGCCTGGCTTAAATGGTTTTTCCAAAATTTTCTCTCCTTCTCTAGTCAATATTTTGTTATTGATGGATATTACTTCCCACATATGTTTCTCTTCATTTCTTTTACTCCCCTTGAAACAGACATCTGCTTTGCAATTTTCTAAAATAAAAATAACAGAAACATTATGAATCCTACCTTACTTATGAAGGGGGGCTTATGGACACATGTCATATTATACATTCTATTCTATGGTATCTGATCTTTTTTTCCTAAGCCTAAATAATTTTCATACATACCCAAAGAAAAGGACACACATACCCTTAGTTATCCGCCACAATGTTTTAAAAAAAAAAAACTGGCATAGAAAAAATATGAGCATTTGGCATTTAGTAAATGTAATTTTAAACACTGGGTAGAGAAAGGGGGAAAAAAAAAGAAGAACAGTGAATAGAGGAACAGAGAGAAAGTTTTTTAATAGTGGTTATATCAGAGAACCAGAAAATCAGAGAATGGGATGAATCCAATACATACTATAAACTTAAGTATGTAGTATAACAAGATAATTCAGTTTACAATTTTTTTCATGATATGTATCAGGAGATGCGTTTGGTATGGTGGACCAAAGTTTAGAACCCTACACTGTCTAGAACCTAGAATGCATTAGTAAGATATTCACTAATCTACATGCTTCTGATTCCATACCCTTCTTTACCATTCTACCCATCAGCAAACAATTACATTTATAGTATCACCAATTTCCTTCTGTCCTCTAGCTCAGACCCTTAATTCTTCCAGCTGTGATTCACAGGAACACAAATATCCAACAGGTAGTTAAAAATTAATGAGAGAAAAGCTATCTTTGCAGATAAATTAGATCCACTGCTAGATTTTGGCAAGGGGATCTTTGGTTTAATCTATCAGAATTGTTCAGTAGCTAACATGATCATTTCATCTTCAGTTTTCACTTGCCAATCTGCTCATTGACTTTTCCCAAACTACAGTATTTTTACACGAATAATGTGCGCCTTCTACATTTGTTTACCAATTGCTCCCTTCCCCTGAGAGGCATTTTCATAAGCACTCTATGCTAATTTTTTAAAGGCAACATGTGAAACAAATTGGCATAGCTTATGAAAATACCTCATGGGGAAAGAGAGCGGTTGGCAAACATAGAACGTGTATGTTATTTGTGTAAAAATATGGTAGTCATTCCCTTGAAACAAGAATCCTTAATAGTTACTTTAAGAACCTAAAATATTCTGTTTCCAACTGCTCTGAAGACCTTTAGTAATATCATTAATACCTATTTATCATAAACATGTTCATGTGTGCTTGACTATCACTACTCTGCTGCTATCCACATTCAGTGCTACAATGTGACCCTAATGTGGTCCTAACTCCACCACAATAAGTATCAGGTAAAGACAGCTAAAGGTCACCATTCTGATGAAATTTTACATCTACTGGATACACATCAGGTGTTTTAAGGTACCATTCCAAAAGTACACATTACCATCAGTAGTATTCCAGCCAGGCTTTCTGTCCCATGGAAAGACACATTCTAAACAATAATCCTGTACTCATACTTTCACATAGCCTGCATTCCTGCCTTGGCCCCTGTAGTGCGATGGATGAATTTGTGTGGCCTTTCTTGCCATGGTCTTGTAACTCCCACCCAAGTGACTGACTGGACTGTGCAAATAAGGTAATTGTGGCCCACCAAGGGGACTGGTCAGTTTTGCCATCCCATTAGGCTTAAAAGAAAGCCAATTTCAGAGAGGGAGAGGATCTCACCACCACCAAGGAAGAAGAGTCAAGAGCAAGACCGAACCCGGGATCCCTGCACTGAGAAATTCCTGGAGCCAGGAGACTGACAGAGTTGTGACACTGAAGATGGTGAGAAGCAGTGGCAGGATGTGACCACCAGGAGATGGCACAGTGGGCTTCCCAGCTCACGGAGTGAGAAAGTGCCTTTGGGTAGGAGACTTGCTGGTGGAATAAGGTGCCTCTGGGCACTTGGTAGAGCTAGGTTTGCTGACCCACGGAGTTAAAACTGAGAGCCTTCTGACCGAGGCTTACTGCCCGGAGAGGGTGGGCTTTAGGGCACTTATTGGCAGAGCTAAAAGAGCTTTGTAATACTTGCCTGAGCAGGGTAGAGGCCGAGGGCCAGAGACAGGCCTGCCTGCAGGCACAGCTGGAAAAAGCCTGTCCTGATAAAGAACTGTATGCTGAGCATTCCTGAAGTAACCTCTTACTTCCCTAATAAACCCCATAATCATAAGTATTGTCTGTGAGTTCTGTGTGGCCACTGTAATGAATTATTGAACCCAGCAGAGCAGCAGAGTGCCACGGGAGGGACAGTTGGTGTCAGAACTGGTAAAGATGGTGGAGAGAGAAGGCATGTCTGACTGCCTCATAGGAATCAGCCTTGGGCTGTTGATCTTGATTCTCCTTCCCCTTTGTGAAGTTAGAGGAGGTCAGATGCTGCCTCTGTGCCATTACAGCCGTAAATAGAATTAGATATAGTACAAGGCATTATTCTCAAACCTTGAAGAAAAACTAAACAAAAAATCGTATAAAAGCCTTCTCCCATCTTCCTATATTTATTTTAAAATCTAAAAGTAGTTACTACCTATATCACTCATTCATAATTTTTTAAATGAAAAAAGCTGCTGTTGAAGTCCAGGGACAAGGACTAGAAGGCGGAAGGGGACAGGAAAGATGGTGATAGGGAACCCAAGGTTGAGTAAGGATAGTGTTGATGTGTTGTGAGGTTGTTAACCATTGTCATAGGGCAACATGTGTACTAACTGTTTAATGAGAAACTATTTTGTTCTGCAAACCTTCATCTAAAGTGAGAATAGCAGCACAACTGGAAGACCGTAGTCGATGTCACTGAACTGTACATGTAGAAATTTTTGAAATGGTGTACTTTGGCTATGTATATTTTCACCAAAAAAAAAAAAAAAAAAAGGTCAAGGGAGAGGGTTGACATGTCGTGGGGTTGTTAACCAATGTCATAAAACAATATGTGCACTACTGTTTCATGAGAAACTATTTGTTCTGTAAACCTTCGCCTGAAGTACAATAACAAAAAAATTTTTTTTAAAAATTAAAAGAAAAAAAAAAAAAAGCTGCTGTTGAATCAACTCCAACTCCTGGTGACCCCAAGCATGTCAGAGTAGAACTGTGCTCCGCAGGGTTTTCAATGGCTGAGTTTTCAGAAGAGGATCATCAGGCCTTTCTTCCTAGGTGCATCTGAGTGGACTCAAACCTCCAATTATTTGGTTAGCAACTGAACACGTTAACCATTTGACCACCCAAGGATTCCCTTTCTAAATGAAAAATATCATAAATACAGAAAAGGGCATATGTAAGTGTACAACATGATGATTTTCAAAACCTGAGCTAATCAATGAAACAAGAACCCAGTTAAGGACACAAACATCCCAGAAGTTCTCTTAAGTACCTTTACACTCACTACCCGCTAGCAAAGATAAACACTATCATGACATTTAATGGTATAGACTAAAGTGTCTTGTCTTTGTATTTCCTGTAAGTAACTATATATATATGTACATATACATATATGTCTGTTTATGTATCACATCAGCTGGCAAGGTCCGTGAAAGCTTCCAGTACAGAACTTCCATATCCCAACAGGATGCGCTTTTACTATTGCTGTGTGCTGTCAAGTTGATTCTGACTTATAGCAACTATATACGACAGAGAACTGCCCCATCGGGTTTCCTAGGCTGTAATATACCAGGTCTTTTCTCCCACTGAACCACTGGTAGATTCAAATTGTCAAACCTTTCAGTTAGCAGCCAAACCACTGCACCACCAGGTCTCCTAAGGGGATGCGCTACCCTCCCAAAAACAGATACTCACTCTTACCAACCAGGAAGTTCCATCTGAGCATAAGGCTCAGGGCTTTGAGCAGCCTCATCACTTGACCATGATAAATCACATCATGCCTTGTGAAGCTTAGTCAGCGTCAGGCACCCAAGTGGTCTCATACTTATATTAATAAAAAATGCATTCAACATAAATCACATTGTTAGCATAAACTATCTGGTGTGGTTCAATGCCACAAGTACAGACAGACACACAGTAGGCCCAACACTACAACTAGAATAGAGTCGAGCATTTCTGAAAACCACACACCTGAAACCCAGGGAGGACAAAATCCATCCAACAACAGCTGAATTTATATTATTCTCAATTGCACATAGAACGTTCAAGATAGACCATATTTTGGCCAATAAAACATTGTCAAAATTCTCAAAATTAAAAGAATAGAAATCACACAAAGAACGTTCTTCAGCCACAGCAAAGTTAAACTAAAAATCAATAACACACTGATATATGGAAACTCCCACAATATTTCAAATTAACCAAAGTATTTGTAAATAAAATACTGGTCAAAAGATATTAAACATTTTTAAACTGAATGCAGATTAACACACTATATATCGAGATTTGTGGCATGCGGCTAAAGCTGTGCTCAGCAGAAAATGTACAGATTAAATGCTTATGTTAGAAAAGAAGAAAGGTCCAAATCAGTAATGATATAAGATCAGAAACTAGAGAAAGCAGAGCAAACTAAACCTAAAGTAAACAGAAGGAAGGAAATTATAAATATTTGACCAGAAATATATGGAACTGAAAAACGAGAAAAATGGACAAAAATCAATGAAACCAACATCGGTTCTTTGAAAAGATTAAAACAAATAAATAAAGATAAACATAAACTCCTAGACAAACTGACCAAGAAAAAAGAGAAAAGAAACAAATTACCAGTATCAACAACACAAGAAGAGACATAACTACTGATACAATAGTCATTAAAGACATAATAAGGGAATATTACAAACAACTCTATGCCCATTAATTTGAAAACTTAGATGAAATCCGCCAATTTTTTAAAAGACAAAAACTACCAAACTCGCCCAAGAATAATAAGAATGTTTTCTATCTTGTCTCCTCCGACTCATGGTAAGCCTATGTCTGTCACAGTAAAACTGTTGGTGTTTTTTTCAGAAACAGATAGCCGGGAGTTTCTCCCAAGGCACCTCTGGTTAGACCTTTTGGACAGCAGCTAAGCATGTTAACTGTCTGCACCACCCAGGGACTTAGATGACCTGAATGGATACATATCTGTTTTAAATATTGAATACACAGATAAAAGCCTTCCAAAAAGAAGGTGACAGGCCCAAATGATTTAACTAGCGAATACTAAGAAATATTTAAAGAAAAACAATAAAAATACTCTACAATCTCTTCTGCACAAAAGAAGATGAAGGAATATTTCTAAAACCATTTTATAAGGCCTACATTACCCTCAAACATAAACCATAAAATGACAGTCCAAGGGAAGTTACAGACCAATAACCCTCACGAATGTGAACACAAACATCCTCATGAAAATAACAGCAAATCAAAATCAGCAATTTATAAAAATGGTAACATGTCACAACTCAGTGGAGTTCATCCCAGAATGCAAGGCTGTTTCAACATTCGAAAGTCAGTCAATGTAATCTACCACGTTATTAAGTCCAAAGAATGAAAACCACTTGGTCACATTAACTGATACAGAAAAAGCATTTGACAAAGCTGAGTATCCATTCAATGTAAAAACTCTCACCAAAACAGAAAGAGAAGGCAACTACCTTAACCTAATGAAGGGCATCTACAAAAAAGGTATAATTAACATCACAATTAATGGTGACAAACTGAATGCTCTTCCCTTAATACAGGAAAAAAACAAGGATATCTTCTGTTACCACTTCTACTCAACATCGTACAGGTTGTCTCTCCACTTCTCTCATTTTGTTATATAAAACCTGGAAGCTTAATAATCAAATGAACACCCACATCAACACCGGTTAAGATCATTAGCAACACACCTGAATCTACCTAAATACTCCTCACCTATCCAGTCTCCTGCCTCCCTTCTCACACCCAGCTGTATCCCTACTATTCTCTCCAGTGAAGGGCTAACTCAGTAGTCTTGGGTATTCAAACTGCACATTCACAAGAGAAGATTGCCCCTTGACCTGGCCTGGGAGATCATCTCTAGGCCCTTGGAATATCCTGCCTGATATGAGTGTCTCTGCATACCTGTGTCCTTGAACCACACCAGGCAGTTTATGGTAACAATGTGATTTATGCTGAACAAGTTTTCTATTAATAAAAATATGAGATTACAAACTTACATCTGATCACAACGTTAGCTCTATCCGTGAATTTCTAATGTTGTTGCTGGGTGCTGTCAAGGCAATTCCAACTCATAGCGACCTCATGTGATAGTAGAATTGCCCCCACAGGGTTTTCTAGGCTACAATTTTTACCAGAGCAGATCACATCCTTCCCTCGAGGAGCCACTGGGTGGGTCCGAACCGCTAAACTTTCCATTAGCAGCTGAGAATTTAACCACTGCGCCATCAGGGCTCCTTTAGTTTAATACACATGGTTATTGTTATCATTTCACAAATGTTCTGCAATATTGAATTTGACTTCAATTTTTATCCAAATTATTTAAAAGAGATAATTTCAAAAATTTTCATGTGGATGAGACTTTTACTTACCTATTTTATCAACAATTTCTAGATTTGTCAAATTCTGACCAGAGAATAGTATTTGTGATAATTCTGATTTGTTGAACTTATTAGTTTTATTTTTGGACTAATATTACATTTTTACTTTTGTTTAGGTTATTCCATGGGCACTTGAAAAGTGTTTTCGTTTTCAGCATATATACATACACACATAATGTATGCTTCACGTTAATACAAACGTTATTTATTGTCTCTGTATCACCTAATAACTAACAACAATATACATACTTACTGAATGTCCACTGTACCTACTATGTTATCAGATGAGAATATTTTGATCTCCTGGTTCTAATGATTATCTTCTAGTTATATATATAGTTCCTGAATTTTTTTTTGTCTTATGAACATCAATACTAGGTTATTTAGTGCACAGGTATTCAAAATGTTTACAGGTTCACTTTAAATTGTGCTCTTTAGCTTGAAGTGCCCTCCTTCTTTTGATGATTTTATTTCCCAAATTCAAACCTCAAAGATACTTAGATTATGAAACCCTAAATGACTTTGTTTATATTATGTAACAATTAACAATTCTTTTATTGCAACCTTTCTAAGTTTCTTATTGAAGGATTCCTTTCCATTTAATTCAATCAGTTTGATCTAATCATTAGCATTTTTGACTGGCAGGCATGCTTATCTAAGTTATGTCAATTTTTATATTATGCTGTTTATAGAGCTTCATAATACATTTCAGTAAGTATGTTTTACTTCTCATAATTAAGATGATTTTATTCTTGCTCTTGGGATTACATTTAAAACTACAACTTTTTGAAACTCCTAAAATTGTCTACTAGTTTTGACAAATAACTAGTATTGCCTCCTAGAAGGAATAATGATATTAGTACAATGAAACCCGTGAAAGCCAGAACTCCAAGGGACTGCCTTGTTTTTCCAGGTCTTGCAAGTTTTCCACCTTTGACAGGTGCAGTCTTACCACTTTCCTATTACTCGTTTTAGCGGAAAATATTTGAGTTTTCCTTCTCTGACAGATTTCTTAGAGTTTCCCGCTTTTGCAGCTTTTACTGTATATTCTTCCCTACCTTTACCTCCTCCACCCACAATTTGTGTTGATTTTATAATGTGTTACTTTGGATCTTAGACTATTAAATAAACTTATAACTCTATTACTTGATTTTTCAGATTTAAAAATTATGTTTGGAACATCAGCTTTTAAAGATGAAAGAATTCATCACGCTTGTATTCCTTCCTCTATGTTACAACTCCCCCTTCTACAATATATGATATAACCTTTTTAAACTCACAAAAGCACTGCGCCTCTTGAAAAAGTTTTCAAAAGGTATTTACCCTAAGGGCTAAGCAGCCCAGGACTCCTTCTGCCAGCGTTCAGAAACTTACCACGGTAGCCATGGCTTGGGAATTCTTCTAAGGACAAAGGCTCTTCTCCTCGTTCCAACTTGAAGATCACCTCTGGTTTGGTAATGCAATACCCTGCAAACGGGGAAAAACTGAAAGTGTAGACCACATGAAGGCGGAGGAAGATAGCTCCAGGAAAGGCAAATAAAGGTGTTTGTTTAAATTTGTCAATGGGGAATAGACAACAGAAATGTTTCTGTTGCTCATAATGGTTCAGAACCTTAGATCCCTAAATTCAAACACTGATTAACATTAATTTTTATAAAGAAGTTTAAAAAAATGAAATGCACCCTAGAGGGAGTCACATGGTGAGGTCTGCTCACCCGCTGAGACGAGGTGGCTGTAGTTCTCCAACATCACGTCTCTGTACAGGGTCCTCTGAGCAGGGCCCATGTGCTGCCACTCCTCCTGGGTCAGCTCCACAGCCACGTCCTTGAATGACACTGATGCCTGTAACAGCACATCTCTTATCAATCTGAAGAGTTCAGACACACGTGTCACGGAAAACATGTGGGATCTAACGTGGGATCTAATTCTTTTCATGTTTACTCCTAAAGCTATAAAACAAATGGCTATAACAGATGTCCATTTTAGACCCAATTTTGTGTTATACTTTGGGATTACTCAGTTAAAAAGGTTTAAGTTGCCATAAATCATTATGTATATATTTATGAATTACAGATGTTTTAAGAGGTAAAATATCACATGTAAATAGACTTCCTACAACTCTTTTTCCATATCCCAGTAGATTGTTCCAGTATATCTAGAGTGTTCACATTCTCCTTTAAGATCACCAGGGTAAAAAGTGGGGAGACAAAGAAAATACATGTAAGCTCTGGAGACACTATATATTACTGGATTAGTATTCTAGAAGGAATGCTCTAGAAGAGTGAAGAAAAGCTTAAAAACTACTTAGAACCAAAGATAAGAGTGTAACAGATGAACTTCTTCATTAGTGTAATGGCAATGCACATAAGAATAGGAAACTCATCCTATACCAGATGCATCAACAGAATTTGCTCACTAATTTCTTGTTGCTGAGAGGGCAGTCTGTCTTTACGAGTCCCATCCCGGCCAACTAAACTGAGGTCTTGGTCTCCGAGCAGTCTCTGATAATGAGGCTGGGAACTGGGTCTCACTCTCTTTCCCATTTTCTCCTTGTCAGAGAGCCTTCCTTCCTGTTCTGAGCTCACAGTAACCTTCTGTCTCCATGACCACTCATAACTAATTTTGTAACTAAAACCAAAAACCAAGCCTATTGCCACTGAGTCAATTCCGACTCACAGCAACCCAACACGACAGAGTAGAACTGCCTCTTAGGGTTTCCAAGGCTGTAATCTTTATGGAAGCAGGCTGCCACATCTTTCTCCCACGGAGCAGGTGGTGGATTCAAACTGCCGACCTTTCAGTGAGCAGCTGAGTGCTTAATCACTGCACTACCAGGACTCCTTCATCTAGAGGGGAAGAAACATTCTTTCTGGTTATATGGTTTTGCATCTGAACAAGACAAAGGCAAGGCCAGGTGCACCACAACAAAGGCCCCTTTGTCTTACCTCCATTCCCCTTGCTTCCATGCAGTCCAGCACATGCACCTCTCCGGTTTATCTATATAAGCCCCAGGCCTCTTTGTTCTCTCGCCCATGGTGCACTGAGAGGCGTGCATGGAAGTGACAAAAACTATACCACCGTTAGACAGGAGCCTTTTGGAAGAACCTGGCTCTTGACAAACCCTGCCATGTGCTTAACCACTGCACCACCAGGGCTCCTTTCTATCTACACTAGCAGCTAGATAACCTTGCATACCATATAATGAGATACAGAAATTAGAAGAAAAAAATGTCAGAGTGAGGCACATCATATTCATGTAGCTACTGAAGGGTCTGTGGAACAAAAAGGAAGAACTGTCTCCTTAACAGGTGGACACATGATTTTAGAGCACAGAAGGTAAATGTAGTATGGAGACAAGCATTTAGTAGTCATTAGCAAGTTAGGTCATGACCAAAGTCATCAGGGGCAGTAAGTCATCCCAAAGTCTATACAGATTTAAGAAAAGAAAGTGCCATGAGCAAACACCAATCTTAAAGAGGCTGGCTGAAAAAGAATAGGATATGAAGGTTGAGAAGAAATTTTCAAAACAGTAACGCAAAACCAGGAGAGGGTAAAGTCTTAGAAAATAGGAAAAGTTAAAAAAAAAAAAAAAAAAAGTCTCTTCCTATTCAAGCTAACAGACTGAACGTATACATTTACCTCCCCAGCCTCCAAACATATTATCAGAAGCAGTGTAACACCTACAATAAATGTAGGACAATAGCAAAATAAAAAGAAGAGTACCATCAGAAAGTCAGAAGTTTCTAGTTATTTCTGAAAAATACATAGTTAAAACAACCAGACAGCAAAAACCGAGGACGTCTTTCCTAAAACTTAACACAGGAACAGAAGACTGAAGGAGCAGGATTCCTAAAGAGTCAGAAAGATATTCCAGTTCAAACTCAACAAAAGCTGGTACTTAAAGAGTAGGCAGTAGATGAATGAATGGCAGAGTAATCAACCAGAGTCCTGAGTGCTCCTCATTATGTAAATACTAGAAAAGCCTGGAGGAAAAGTTGATGGAAAGAGCTTTCCACATGGAATGGGAGAATTGCTTTAAGATCTTGGCTGAATGGATGCAGCCAAAGAGGGAAGCAGAGAGCTATCCCTTGGTATTTGATTTTGACAATGTTTTAGTTTCTTAGGAACTGCTACAACTGAAATACCACAAGTGGGTGCCTTTAAAGAACAAAAATTTATTTTCTCAGTTTGGGAGGCTAGAAGTTTGAATTCTAGGGGGAAGGCTCTCTCTCTGCCCACTCTGAAGGACAATCCTTTCCTCAGCTTCACTACTGTTCTTGTTATTCTCGGCATTCCTTCGTGATATCCACTTGGCATCTATCTTTCCCCCATTCCATCTTACTTGCTTCTGTGCCTAACCTGCTCCTTTTATATCTCAAGTGACTGGTTTAAGAAACAGGCTACACTGACATGGCCTCATTAACATAACAAAAAACCCTATTCCCAGATTGGCTCCTATCTATATGTATATAGGGGTTATGATCCCAATACATATTTTGTGCGGACACAATTCAATCAATAACAGACAATGCTTTTGTAAATAGTATCACTTCTTAAAAGTTTGTTTCCTATTGTTTTAGCCGAGACACACACATACATTTTATTCCTAAATTTTGACCTTATGTCTAACGACCCTGCTAACCAAAAAACCAAACTCATTGCCGTCAAGTCGATTCCGACTCACTGTGACCCTATAGGACAGAGCAGAACTGTCCCATAGGTTTTCCAAGGAGCAGCTGGTGGATTTGAACTGCCGATCTTTTGGTTAGCAGCCGAGCTCTTAACCTCTGTGCCATGAGGGCTCCAATAACCCTGCTAAATAAACTTAATCCAACTTATTATCTGTAGATTACTTCGAAGTTTACATTTATACAATGTAATCTGTAAAATATGACACTTTTATTCCTTGCTTTTCAATCTTTGTATGTTTTATATCTCTTTCGTGCTGTATTTCACTAGCTGACACTTCCAGTTAAATGATCGTGTAGGTATACTAGATCATACGGCAAAATGTTATTACTTAGCATAGCTTTGAAAGAAATACAACAAATATTTTATATACAAATGCATAACAAACTAAGATGGAAAAAATAAATCCAAGTATAAAAAGACAAGTAAACGGTTTAAATTCTTTCTCTGATTCAATTCATTGATCAATTAATCAGCTACTTCTTTCTCTCAGCACGTCTTCTGTATATGAGCAAGAAATCTTCTCATAATCCCTAGTATCGTCTGTATTTTATCCCCTCCAAGATTTTACTGGCCCACAAGAAGCTTAGTGGTTCTCACAAGGGTCAACACAGTGCAGAAGAAATTAGGTCTTTATGACCGTAAGAATGAGTACCACAATCCTAGGGAAAGCAAAAGGACAGAGAAAAAAATGCTCAGGAAAGAAACTGTCCCTGGGTATATTTCATTCAGAACAGGCCTAGTCTTTGTGCACAGGTCTCTCGGCGATGAAAACAGGGCACAGGCTCTACCTGACAAATGAGGTGGCATTTAAGAGAAAAGGGAAACAAGCTGTGTATTGAGGGGGAATGATCTTTCATTCAGAACTGAGCTTATTGAGCAGCCGCAATGAGTGACGGCCAGAGGAAGAAACTGAGCTGGACCCATGGTGGTTCTGGACCCTGAAGGATAAAGGTATAACTGCAGAGAGAAAAGTAGCAGCTCATTTCCACCGCTGTATGAAGCGCAGTCAGGGGCAAGGCAGGGGGCTATGAGGACTCGGAGAGCAATGGGTTAACTAGCCAAGAGGTAGACCAGGGGAAAGAGAAGAGTAACTGTTTCCTTTACGGGGCAACCAGATCTGCTCATGACAGACCAAAAGTGAAGAGTCAGTTTAAGGGAACACAGGTCAATGCAGACAATGAGAACATGATATGAGGCAGAGTCAGAAGCAATAAAGTATGTTCAAGGAACTAAATGAGATTTGGTTTTGATTTAGAACAGTTACATGCCCAGTTTTCTTTTTAATGTCACCTTCCCCACTAAACTGTGAAATCCATTAAGAAAGGAAAGTGTCTGTTGTTCAAGATGTAACTATAGTACACATCTCTTCCCTTGGGACATCAGAGCAGTTTAATAAATAGTTGTTGAATTAAAACCAGCATGGGAGGATATTAAAAAGGTGAAATGGGCTACACGAACCATGGCCTCATCCACCCTGAGACCAGAACTAGATGGTGCAATACCAACTGTTCTGATCAGGACCACAATAGATGGATCCTTATAAGAATGGGAGAAAAATGTGGAACAGAACCTCAAATTCTTAAAAAAAAAGACTTACTGGACCAATTGAGAATGGAGGACTCCCTGAGACCACTGCCCTGAGATACTTTTAAAACCCTGAACCAAAACTAGCACCTGAGATCACCTTTCAGCTAAATAACAGATTGGCTCACAAAACAAAGATTATCACCCGTGAGTACTTTGCTCCTTTAAAAAATCACCTATATGAGACCAAACAGTAAACAATCACTTTAAAACAAAGATGAGAATGTAAGTGGGCTGGGAAACTACATTAATGGAAATAGAACCACCAGAATGGAAATAATGAGAACATGCATGCATTGTGAAGAATGTAAACAATGTCACTGAACAATTTGTGCAGAAATTGTTGAATGGGAACCTAAACTGCTGTGGAAACATTCACCAAAAACATGATATTATTTAAAATAAATAAATAAATAAGGCGAAATGCGAAGGGACTGTGTCTACATAGCCTGTATGTCATTCTAAGATGCTAGGGCTGTTATTGTATAGGGGTGAGGAGCCACTGCAGTGGTTTCCACAGGGAACAAATGGTAGCATTCATATGAGTTACCCAAGAGGCAGATGCAGTTGAGGGGAACAACGAGGGCAACAAAAATGAAAGCTTGGTAGAAGCAGGAAAAATGAAGTTGAGGGATAAATTTGAGAAATACTAGGTTGACTCATGTATAAGATTTTTCAATCTCTGACCTACAACAATAGCCAAAATAGCAAGATATAATCATTCAATGGATGTCACAGGTGTTGGAAGAAAGAGGAGCTTAGAATGAATCCTACTTTAACAAACTGGGTGACTGTCTCGATTGAGGTAACATCACCTAATGATTACCAAGGTTTACTTTGGGAGCAGTTGTGAATGTTGACTTTCATTTTGGATCGGCTGAACTGAAGACACCTTTTAGAAATCTACATCAATGTGAAGAGGCAGTTGGACACAGGAGTGTAAAGCTGTGCTGTCAAATATGGTGGCCACAAGCAACTATTTAAATTTAATGTAAAACTAAGAACATTAAACAAAAACTAAGAACCAGTTCTTTAGTTGCACTGGCCACCTTTCAAGTACTCAATAGTCACGTGTGGTTAGTGGCTACCTTTTGGAAAGTGCAGACATAGAACATTTCCATTACTGCAGAAACTTCTTATATCACAGTGCATTGGTCTAACATGGGGGGAGAGGTCTAAGCTGAAGAGACATATTTGGGAGAGTCAGCATACAGGCAACTGTTAAAAGCAGTGAGACAATGCAATCAGTCAGAGAAAATATAAGATTAATTGGTCAAGTACGGAAACTTGAGGATGAACCATGTGAAAGGACAAAAGAAGGAAGACGGCCATGGACACCTCAACAGGCAGCTCAAGCCAGAGGAGGGTGTCACAAACACTAGCAGAGACTTTCAACAGACAAAGGGAGGAGATAAATTCTGCAGAAAGGTCAAAAAAGGCAAAGACTAGATAAGGGCCACCTGATTTAATTCTAATCAGGTCACTGGTGAATGGAGATCCCAGGCAAGTGGGGAAAGAAACCAAGACGTCATCCAGTGATTTGAAATGTAAACAGAATGTGTAGAAATATTTGCCAGAAAATAAAATTTTAAGCCCTCTGCAGATCAACCTGCATACTATAAGTACTGAGAAAAACATTTATGGAAAGTTACTTTAAGGTCATGCAGTCCATTCACCAGAAAGGTGTCGATTCAACCCTGTGTTTTTGTCCCCTGGACTCAGTACTGATCGAGTTCTGCTTTGGCAAACGGGCCTCTACTTCCATGGAAGAACAAGTAGAGGCAATATATTGCATTATTTCAGGGTTATTACTGCAAGGCTATTCACTAAATCACCTACTTTAACACCAACAAAGATATTTTTTCACCTTCAACTGCACTGACATCCCGTGAGGAATCAGTGGGTTTACTCTTTTCATCAATGCAAATCTTTAAACAAATACTGTCTGTCTCACTTTCTGCCATGGCTATCAGAAAGCTCAGAAATAAATTTGCAATTTCACCTTGGAAAATCAGTACCATCAGAGAACCTGTATCAATCCACATGCCAACTTTGCTCTGCTATTCATTTGCTCTTCTATGTCTTCCATGAATGATTCTGATCCATTTCTACTTTGCTGTGTTTTTGTATGGACCCTTAAACACCTATAAAAATCCCTTCTAAAGCAAAGTGGTTTAATAACTCATCTAAGATTTATTCATTTTCTCTTGCTCCTGGGAGACTGTAGAGAACTGAAAGATTCTGCCGAGAAGGAAAAAAGAATGGATCATAAGAAGCTTGGTCAACTCCTACACGCACCTCCCTAAAAATTTCATCACACCAGCTGGAGAAAAGGCCTCCCTGAGGGAGAACGGTCCCTTGACCCTCAACGAGATGGAAGCAACACATGGAGGAAACACCACCTGAACAAGTGCATCTCTGATGTGACCATGTAGGCTTAACCTTGAGTTTTCACTGGTGAAGGGAAATCATTTTCTGTTGATGTATTAGTAATTATGTACCCTTCTTACTAATTAACGAGCCATGGAGCCCTGGTGGCGCAATGGTTAAGCGTTTAGCCGCTAACCAAAAGGTCAGCAGTTTGAATCCACCAGCAGCTCCTCGGAAAGTCTATGGGGCCATTCTACTCGTCCTATAGGGTCACTATGAGTCAGAATCAACTCAGTGGCAATGAATTCGGTTTTTTTGGTTTGGTGGTGCAACAGTTAAGCACATGGCTACTAACCGAAAGGTAGGCAATTTGAACCCACCAGCCACTCTGCAGGATAAAGATGTGGCAGTCAGCTTCCTTAAAAGATTATAGCCTTGGAAATCCTATAGGGCAGTTCTACTCTGTCCTATAGGGTCGCTTCGGCTCCACAGCATCAGGTTTGGTTTTGGTTTTTTCTTTCTAATTAACAAGAAATTTTAAAAACAACAGAGGGTTGCTTAAACAAATTCAGTTACATCAGAGATGAAACCCCCTATACCTTCATGAAAATTAATGCTATCCAAGAAGTATTCAAGCTATATTGTTAATCTAGTTCCTATTAACAGTGTTTAAAGTGTTAAAAAGCAAAGATGTCACTTAGAGGACTAAGGTGCACCTGACCCAAGGCATGGTATTTTCAATCACCTCATGCGCACGTGAAAGCTGGACAATGAATAAGGAAGACTGAAGAAGAACTGACGCCTTTGAATTGTGGTGTTGGTGAAGAATACTGAATATACCATGGACTGCCAGAAGAACAAACAAATCTGAATTGGAAGAAGTACAGCCAGAACATGTTATCAGGAGGGACCAGACCCTGGAGGACATCATGCCTGGTAAAGTAAAGGGTCAACGAAAAAAAGGAAGACCTTCAATGAGACAGACTGGCACAGTGGCTGCAACAATGGGCTCAAACACAGCAATGATTGTGATGATGGCACAGGACAGGGCAGTGTTTCGTTCTGTTGCACAGCAGGGTCACTGAGTCAGAAGTGACTCGACGGCACCTAACAACATAGTGAGACATCAGACCTTGAGTTAGAGGATCCATAGTAAACTCTAAAAAATGTGACGGCATGCTTTATGGCATGCAACATATTTTTAAGTTTTTATTCTAAATTGGTTGCAGTTTCCCCAAAAGACCTTATGATAAGATGCTTCTAGTGACTTAGCTGTGGCAGATTAAACAGCACTGAGTTTTGTTTCTAGCTGTGCTCTGGGTGACCTAAGAGAGTCATTCATTTCAGGTTTAATGTTGAGGGGCTTTCAAGAGTCAGTAATAGAACCCCCTTCCAGTACTATCATGTTGTGATTCTACAAGTTCACGATAGAAGGAGCCTCAGCATATCTCTAGATGCCACAGCTGAGAATATGGAAAAAAGAAAAATGAGGGACTGCTTAGGTTTTCATCAGATCTGGCTGCTTTTGCTTTTCCCAGAAACTATGCCTCACCAGCCCTCTACTGTGGCTTTTCCTGTGTACCCTGACACTCACTCATCCTCCTCAATCCCAGGTCACCACCTTCTCCAAGTTGGTCCGCAGTGTCCACTGGCACACAGTTTGTGATGGCTTCTGGAGGTAGTACGCCCTTCGTGAATGGGCGTACAAGGATCCCTCGGGGGCACTTCTAGCACCAAGTTTGACTTGCTCTGGGTAGGGGGATCAAGAACTACTTCTGGCTGTGAAAACCAGAACCTGTTCCTTTCTAGGCTCTTCTACCCCTGCTCTGAAACTCTCGTGATCAGTCTCTATCAACAAGGCTATTCCTCCAGATGGGACTCCTGTACCTGGGGCTCCCTCTTTCCTGCCTCATATGACCTGCTTTGTTACAGAAGGTCTGGCATCTGGGCAGGGAAACAAATTTGTTTTAGCTGAAAACTTCACTTAAGATACTAAAACTGACTCTCTTGGAATTCAGTAGAACTGTGCAAACAGTACTGTAGCCCCTTGTTGTTGTGTGCCATTGAGTTGATTCCAACTCACAGCACCCTATGTGACAGAGTACAACTGCCCCATAAGATTTCCTAGGCTGTAATCTTTACAGGAGCAGATCACCAGGTCTTTTCTCCCATGGAGCTGCTAGCGGGTTCAAACCAAGGACTTTTCTGATAGCAGCCAAGAATTTAACCATTGCACCACCAGGGCTCCTTACTGTAGACCCTAGCCAATACACTAAATGAGTAGCTAAATATAATCTACTGCCTCAGTTAGAAATAATAACGTGGGGTTGAATAAACAATGTTACTGAAATTAATTTCATCTGTTTGTTTTTGTGTACTGTCTTTACTGTGGCTACTAAAAAATTAAAGTATCTTTCTACTGGAGAGCACTGCACTAGAGTATCAGACAGTGCCTTTGAGGAAAGAAAGAGTCTGACAGGGTAAGAGGGGCCAGGAGTCTCAGTCTGATCCAGAGCTCTGAGACACCAGTATTCCCAGAATATACTTACACATACTGAGATTCTGTCCATAGTCACTTCACAGTTGCATCCCTGGGGACTTTCGGACAGGATCCTGTGCTAATGGCTGTAAAAGCTGCAAAGCTGGGTTTTGGGCAGAGAGGATATTAGAACGAGCATGAGATTGGGAGTAAATAATATTGCATTTGCATCCTATCACTTCACTCATTTGTGGCGTTGGGTATATCATTTCGCCTCTCTAAGCCTGTGTTCTTTTTTCTAATGGTATGCTTATAACGACAAAGAGGGTGATTATGAGGATCAAATGAGACAACAAAAGATTGGAATAAAGTGTTTTCTAAATATGGTAACAGGTTATAGTTACACGGTACACTTGGCAGTTACGGTATAGTTAAGTGGCACTTGGAAAAATGTCTTAGGGGACAACTTATTCTTACAATAATACCAGAATTATTATTAATATCACTATTTTCAGTTGACCTGACTCGCACCTAGTTTATTTATCTCAGGGCTGGTTACAGGTGACTGAGCTGTAAGGCTCGTGAATAGGCATATAAGGATCCCTCAGGGTCGCTTCCCGCTCCCGCTCCCGCCTCCCGGGGCACAAACTAAACCCTCCCGGCAAGTTCCGAGGCCCAACGGGGTAACCGCGCCCCCGCGCTCTCACCCTCTACACGGCTTCGACCCGGAAGCTGCAAACCCATCTTGAGCAGACAAAAGAGACGGCGGAAGGGGAGGGAGTGGGTGTGCTGAAGCTGCACATGCGCAGAGTGACCCCAGGAGACCCGTCCGAACAGCGCTGCGCTGTGAACTTCTCAGACTCGAGACTGCATTTCCCGTAAACCTACGGGGTCGGTAGAAGTGGATTTTTTTTTTTTTTAGTAGGAGTTTCCGCTTCCATTTACAATCTGGAAGGTGTCTTGGCTGTGTCTGACTGTAGGTGCTGTCGCATAAGACGAATAACTTTCAAGATTTAAATGTTTCCAAAAAAATTCTAATTTCTTCAAGAAAACATACGTTCTGTATTTATACGTTCTGGGTGGCTTAAGCGGTTTGCACTGGACTACCCAGGCGCTCTGCTGGAGAAAGACCTGGCCATCTGCTTCCATAATGATTACAGCCGTTGAAGAGAAAAAAATAACAGGCATCCTATTTGATTTTAAGGTTTTTGTCACCCACAAAAACCAAATACCATAAAAAAATTCCTGACCAAAAATTAATGCTGCCAGCGGTCTTTTCACCCAAAGTTGTTAGTCTTTTCTTTCCTGTTGGAAGCCTACTTAATTTCACAAGGTATCCTGGCTGCAGGTGGTGGAGGTTTCAGAGACCACCTTATTACCAGGTATCAGTTGATCTCAGTAAAAGGGGAAGAGCAGGGTTCATCAATCATGTTAGTATCAGCCAATAGTTGATCTATTCTTCTCCCTCCTCTTTATAAGCCTCCTTTTAACTAGCTTACTTCCAGCCATTTGCTTTTTTTGAAATCAGAATAATCTCCCTATATGCATAAATAATAACTGCTCTGAATAAACCTTATGTTTCAATTTCTTTCAGTTTTGATTTTTTTTGTTGTGTTTTAAGTAAAAGTTTACAATTCAAGTTAGTCTCTCATACAAAAATTTATACATACATTGTTCTGTGACCCTAGTTGCTCTCCCTGTACTGTGACAGCACATTCCTCCCTTCCACCCCTGATGTTCCATGTCCATTCAACCAGCTCCTGACCCTCTCTGCCTTCTCATGTTGCCTCTGGACAGGAGCTGCCCATTTAGTCTCATGTATCTGCTTGAGCTAAGAAGCACACTCTTCATGAGTATCATTTTATGTCCCATAGTCCAGTCTAATCTTTGTCTGAAGAGTTGGCCTTGGGAACAGAGAGTCCAGGGGCCATGTCTTCCGGGGTCCCTCCAGCCTCAGTCAAACCATCAAGTCTGGTCTTTTAACTAGAATTTGAGTTCTGCACCCCACTTTTCTCCGGCTCCGTCAGGGACTCTCTGTTGTGTTCCCTGTCAGGACAGTCATTGGTGGTAGCCAGGCACCATCTAGTTCTTCTGGTCTCAGGCTGATGGAGTCTCTGGTTTATGTGGCCCATTCTGTCTCTTGGGCTAATACTTCCCTTGTGTCTTTAGTGTTATCCATTCTCCTTTGCTCCAGGTAGGATGAGACCAATTGATGCATCTTAGATGGCTGCTCACTAGCTTTTAAGACCCCAGACATCACTCACCAAAGTGGGATGCAGAACATTTTCTTAATAAACTTCATTATATCAGTTGACCTAGATGTCCCCTGAAAGGATGGTCCCAAGATCCCTGCCCCTGCTGCTCTGTTCCCCAAAGTGTTTGGTTGTATTCAGGAAACTTCTAAGCTTTGGTTTAGTCTAGTTGTGCTGACTTCTGATTATTTTTAATACAATCAAGAAAACCTATAGGACAGTTCTACTTGGTAACACATGGGGATGACAGGAGTAGTGATTGACTGGAAGGCAGCTAACAACAACTAAAATAAATATAAATATGTAAATATAATCAAATCCTTTCCTAGGAAACACTCACCCCCAAACCACTACCTCCCTGCCTCTTGGGACCCCAACTTAGAACCCCGTCCTATGCTCCCAAACACAGCCTCAGGTTTTCTAACAAATTCAGCACCCACCACAGAATGCACTGTGCATGATTTCAATCCTTTGAATTTTATTACAACTATTTTTATGGCATAGATAGAATCTGTTTTGGAAATGAAGTACCAGAAAAGTAGGCATTCCCATTAACTGTTGTTTGTAATATTCTATAAATGTCCATTAGCTCAAGGTGGCTGATAGTATCATTGCAAACTTATTTTCCTTACTGTTTTGTTTTGCTTTGTTTTCTTTTTGGGTCTACTTGTTCTGTCAGTAACTGAGAGAGTGGTGTTAAATATGGTTAGGATCAGGATTTGTCACTTTCTCTCTTCAGTTCGGTCAAGTTTTGCTGTATGAATTTTTGAATCTTTGTTATTAGTGCATATGCATTTAGGATTTTCCTATCTCTTTGTTCAACTTTTTTTTTATTAATATGTAATGTTTCTCTTTGTCTCTAGAAATATTCCATATCTTTAAATCTGTGCTGTCTGATACTAATATAGCCACACTAGTTCTCTTATAATTAGTGTTTACATAAATTTTTTTTCTCTTTTTACCTTCAACCATATTGTTGTGTATGCTTATATAATGTCTAAAATCACATTGGTATAAGTTACTATTATGTATGCTTTTATAATGCTTTCAAACACTGTTATGCTTTTAAACTTCAACTCACTCATAATATGAAATTAGAAATCGAAATATGTATATACTTTTCTGGTGCTTTCTAAGGAGAAAACATATAAGTCATTCACAGCTTATAAGCTGACAGAAGCTATGCCTATAAGTTATCAGGAAGTTGTTTAGAATATTTCTAACTTTACTGTTGTTAGGTGCCATCAAGCCGATACAGACACATAGTGACCCCATTTACAACAGAATGAAACACTGCCCAGTCCTGTGCCATCCTCACAATCTTTGCTATGTTTGAGCCCATTGTTGCAGCCACTGTGTCAATCCTTCTTGCCAAGTGTCTTCCTCTTTTTCACTGACCCTCTACTTTACCAAGCATGATGTCCTTATCCAGGGACTGGCCCTTCCTAATAACATGACCAAAGGAGCACTCTGGCTGTACTTCTTTCAAGACAGACTTGTTCATTCTTCTGGCAGTCCATGGTATACTCACTATTCTTCGACAATACCACAATTCAAAGGCATCAGTTCTTCTTAAGTCTTCCTTATTTATTGTCCAGCTTTTGCATACATACAAGGCAATTGAAAATATCGTGGCTTGGATCAGGTGTACCTTAAACCTCAAAGTGACATCTTTGTTTTTCAACACTTTAAAAAGGCCTTTTGCAGCAGATTTGCATATGCAATACATTGTTTGATTTCTTGACCGCTGCTTCCACAGGCATTGATTGTGGATCCAAGGAAAATGAAATCCTTCACAACTTCAATATTTTCTCCATTTGGCATGATGTTGTTTGTTGGTCCAATTGTGAAGATTTTCATTTTCATGTTGAGATGCAATCCATAGTGAAGGCTATAGTCTGATCTTCATCAGTAAGTGCTTCAAGTCCTCTTCACTTTCAGTAAACAAGGTTGTGTCATCTGCATAACACAGGTTGTTAATGAGTCTTCCTTCAATCCTGATGCCCCATTCTTCATATAGTCCAGCTTCTCAAATTATTTGCTCAGCATACAGACTGAATAAGTATGGTGAAAGGATACAACCCTGATACACATTTTTCCTGATTTTAAACCATGTAGTATCCCCTTTTTCCATTTGAACAACTCCCCCTTGGTTTATGTACAGGTCCCTCATGAGCACAATGATGTGTTCTGGAATTCCCATTCTTCACAATGTTATCCATAATTTGTTATGAATCACATAGTCGAATGCCTTTGCATAGTCAATAAAACACAGGTTCTCTACAGAAGCGAAACCAGTGAAGCATAGAGAGAGAGACAGAGAAACATTTATCTCAAGGAAATGGCTCCCGTGGCTGGCAACTCCCAAGTCCGTGGGTCGGGATGGAGGCTTCTCCTGACTCTTGTAGCTACAGGGGCTGATGAACTGAAGATTGGTAGGCAATACAGAGGGCAGCTGGCTCAAGTCCCAAGAACAGGAGGCAAGATAATGCCAGTCTGGATGCAGGATCCAGAGGAAGCAAACAAGTTTTGCAGGAACATCCATATATATATTGGATGCAGGCCACACCCCCAAGGTAACTCCCCTTACAACTGACTGGCTGATCACATCAGATCACACCATGGAGGATGACTACATCATTACATAACTCCCAAATACATCATTATATAACTGCAAAATTATATCCTTACAAAACTGCCAAACCACTGAGAATCATGGCCCAGCCAAGTTGACACACAAGCTTAACCATCATAGAGATTAATATCCAGAATATATAAAGAACTCCTACAACAAAAAGACAAACAACTCAATCAAAAAATGGGCAAAGGACATGAATAGACATTTCACCAAAGAACATATATAAATGGCCAATGAACACATGAAAAGACGATCAACATCATTATTCATTAAACTAAAAAAACAAACAAACCTATGGCCGTCAAGTCAATTCCGATTCATAGCGACGCTATAGGACAGAGTAGAACTGCCCTATAGGATTTTCAGAGCTGTAAATCTTACGGAAGCAGATGGCCACATCTTTCTCCTGTAGAGCAGCTGGTGAGTTCAAACCACCAAACTTTCAGTTAGTAGCCAAGTGCTTAACCACTGAGCCACCAGGGTACCTGACTGAATAAGTCACAAAAGGAAAATTTTGTATGATTCCACTTACATAAAATATGGAGAACAGGCAAATGTATACAGACCTAAGGTTATTAGTGGTTATCAGGGGCAGGCAGGAGGAAGGGGGAAAAGGGGACCCACTGCTTGGGAGACATTGAGCTTTGGTTAAGTGTGATGGAAAAACTTGGAAACAGATAAGGGTGATGGCTGCACAACATAAATACAATTAATGTCACTAAATTTTACATGTGAAGAATGTTAAAATGGCAAATGTTTTGTTATAAACACATTGACCACAATAAAAACATAAAGCAGTATATTTCACAAAATTAACAAATCAAAAAGGAAAAAAAATGTTTTATCACCTGAATATACACAGA